GAGTGTCCTGGTCCCTACCGATGAAACAGTCACAATAATGGTTATTAGGGGTCAAATCATTGGTTTAGAGAGCCAGCAAATTGCTCAGAGAAGAGAGCTTTCGGCCCAGAGAAACAGTGACCTGTGCCTGGCAGACCCAAGGCAAGAAGTCAGACCATAGGTAATAGTATGAATATTTACATTGAGGGGTTCGAACAAACATGTAGTTGTAACCAGACAAGTTGGACACACAGGAACAGAGGGGTTGAGGGCCCTGCTCAATAAGCTCACATGCTAGAGGAAGTGGGGTAAAGTGACACAAAAGGTAAGGATAGTATTAGACTAGTGACAGTTGCAAAAGAAGAATCAGTCGGGAGCTATTAACAGTTTAATTGATACGCTTTTATGAAGCAGTGGGTTTTTATTGTTTTTTTGAAGGAGTGGAGACTGGGTGAGCATCTAACAGAGGAGGGAAGTGAGTTCCACAGGAACGGAGCAGCCCTTGAGTACAGACAGAAGATAGACATAAGTCTTCAGTAGAGCGTAAGGGCCTAGACGGGACATACTTGTGTATTAGGGAGGATAGATAGGTGGGAGCAGCATTATGTAGAGATTTGAGAGCAAGAACCAGAATTTTTAATTGATCCCTATATCTTACAGGAAGCCAATGTAGGGACTGACAGAAGGGTCAGGTGTGGGCGATGCTGGCGGACAGGAAGATGAGCCTTGCCGCCGCATTCATTATGGACTGTAACTGGGCAAGTTGGGAGCACTTAAGACCACTGAGAAGTGGATTACAGTAGTAATTTATTTGCTTAGAGTGCTCATTTAATGTTACTTGTTTATTATAGTTGCTTTGCTTTATATTTGCCAACATGAGGATGTAAAAAGCTGAGCAGCCATAAAATGGTGTGAAATCCTACCATCACATGCATGAAAAAAGGAATGTCAGCTCTGTAAGCTAACCAACCAGAGCTGGTCACTTCAGAGCACTGCTGAAATACTCTTGCTTAGACAGAAATGTTGTCGACTAAGCTAATACAGATACAAGAATGTGTCTAATATATGCTAAGCACAATATATGGGAACTTTAATTTAATCTTCTGCGTTTGGACTTTGACCTTTAGACTTCTGGATCATGGTCAGTGGGCAGGTAGGATCTAGAACTTTATCATTTGCTTTACTAAAATAAATTTTGCATAGATACAGTGCATAGCAATCTAGGTTGAAGAAAAAAAACCTCAAAATTCTATCAAGTTATTGAGGGAGATTCAAAAATTGTAGTATTTAAAAAAGTATGAGTGGTAAACTGTGAAAAGGTTAAACAAGTTTAGGAATTGCCTAACGCTATATTATTGGATTATTATGTGGGCTATAAATTAAATTAAATAAAAAATTAGGAAACGATAAAAAATATAGTCAGGACACTAATAAGCTCTTTTATGTAATGTATGATGTATAGCAGACAGCAAAACAAAAAATAGCATCCTTAAAATGTCAATAACAATTGCAAAAACAAGAACTGTTTATCTGGTTAGATCGGTCCTGATTGTTAAATGCTTGATATGTCTAGAATTTATTATTTTATTATTGTGATATTTAACACTAACGCTACACCAATCTTACCCATAACACTATGCTTACATTAACTCTAACCATGCACGTACCCTAACCCAGAATTACTTTATACAGTACTCTCACAGCAGTCCATACATTATAGGAGAATTTTGTTTCATGGCATTGTGACATTTTTTTTTTTTTCTTGCTTTCACATCCAGAAAAATGTTTCTGTATTATATTTTATTCTGAAAACATCTTTGGTATGAGACAGCCTCCATTATATAGCTGGCTTAGCTCCCTGCGGAGATATGTAAATTACTTTTTGTACTTAATAAAGGATTCAGTGGAACACATATTTATACAAATATTTATCATGTGATTGATGTCTGTAATGTTGCACATGATTTTAAAGGGTTTAAAAGGGCAAACTGCTATAACATTTCACAGCTGTACACTGAGAAAATGGTATACAAATGTTTAAGCTTGATAATTAGTGGAAATTCCATATAATAAACATGATTTTTCTGTTGCTTTGAAGTGAAAATTATTCTGGCCATATAAACTGTAAAATTAAAAAAAAAAATAATGTTAAAAAAACATTAAGAAATTAAGCTATGGCTTTAACATAAAAGTAGCATGTATTTTGCTGTATAGCATTTGTTTTCTCTTTTCTGTTAAAGGATGACAGAGAGCGCCCCAGGTCATTTATAAATTGGAAGCAGAAAAAAAAGAAAAATAATGAATTAAATGTTTGAAGTACTGATGGAAAATGCTATTCAGCTGAGTACATACACCCTCACCTTGTTCTGTTGATGACTATGATAGCTCTCTGTTACTTTTTGTATAAAACTCAAGATTAAGTTGAAAATGCTGATATCAAGCTGACAATACTCTTGAAGCTGCTGCTCAGAGAGGACAACGTCATTCTTATTTGCATAATAACAATAAATTAATTATTCAAGAATGTATGGTCATATTTAAGGTTTTGCCAAAGGGACAAACATATTACAGTTCCAGTTTTAACAAGGAACTATAACCCTTTTACTGAACTGCTTGATCTTCCATGGACAAGATTGTAAGACAAGCTGTGGCTCTCCAGCTGTTAACAAAATACAATTCCCATGATCACCCAGGAGTGAGAAAATGTAAGAGTCATAACAGATGCAGAGAACTGAATGTTGTCTAGAATAATTTACTGTATACACATAGAAGCCTCTTCTACACTAAAAGTCAGGCTGCACAAGTTTTGTAACCAAAGTTTTTGCACAAAGTTAGTAATAAGCTATGTCTGTTGGAAATACAACTGTTGTCGATTCAAGCCTGTAGAATTTAAAGTGTATTTAATTTAAAGATTGTAAATACAAACCTGTATTCCTCTCCTCTGCCTGTAGTTTAACAATTAAAAAAATGGGAAAAAAAGGTTTTACTCAACTTTTTTCTGTGCCGAGATTGAATCCTTGCAGCCGCCCGATCCATCTAATGGGACAACACACCAACTCTTGTTTGTTGTCCAATCTAATGCTCCTCACAGAAAAAAAAAAGTAAATGTGTTCTGAGTACTGCACTCCTCCAATAAAATGGAGGTTAGCCATGAGAACAGACTTGCCTTGGTTCTTCCAGTGGAGGCACTGGGTAGACAGCCACCAAAGGAGTATGTAACTCTGCAATGTAAGAATTTACAGATCTTCTAAACTGCTATGCTTTACATAACATGCAGTGTTAACACTCAAGGACTACTGCACCCAGGAAAATTCATTGTGGTTCTTGAGAAATCGTTGGCTTGCTATTGGCCCTCTTAATAATGGTAAAAGAAAAGTTGTCTGCTTACTATGGTGCTTTTGGTATAGTTTATGCTCTTTTGTTGGAATTTGAAAATATTTTATTCTGATGTGGTGGCAGAAATTATCAGCTAATAAATAGTATTTCAGAGCAATTTTGCAATTAAACTGACTTTTGTGATAGTTTCCATGGTGCTCTTATCACTTTTTTTTTTTTTTTACCAAAAACTGTTCAATATACTGATGAGAATAGTCAATATATTAATATGTTTATACCACAAGAGGTAAACCAAGCACTATCTACAGCTTTTTGTAGTTGGTATGGTGTAAGCAGACTATGGGTACAGTACCTCCTGGTTTTGTTGAACTCTTTTCAAATGATTTCATTAAAAAAATTGAGATTTTCCAAAGTACATATAGAGATATATGAAATTTGGTCACTCTGAGCTATTTTCTGTATAACAAGGCAGAGGACCACTTTCTCATTAGTTGAACCACAGCCAATTAACTGGAATATAGTTGTTTTTGTCAACTGGCTCAATATTAGTTTTACACAAACTTAGGGGCATTTACAGTCCTTTGCACCATAACCACTACTCCGCTGTAGTGCTTATAGTGCTTTGAGTACCATTTTAATAAATCAGTCATTTCCCCTTCACGATAGTGGAACAAAGTAAATTAAACGTATAGAGGAAACTTTAAACTATAATAAATCATCTATAGTCCGCTAAATATTATTACACATACTGGTTATTATAGAAATTAGGTTGGAATGTTTAGGATTTTGCAACATGTAAATTGCAAAGCAAAGTGCTTAATATGTATAACAAGATTATTAATATAAAAATGCAGGAAGTGTGCCTGCTATTACTGTATACCATCATCCTTGATATTTTGATTTGTATCTTTGATGACACCAATATTTCTTTGCACAACTTCTACAAACATTCTCAATAAAAACAGTTTGAGAAACAAAAAATGCAGGAAGTTAAAAAGTACAATCATCCAAAAAATATGAATGCTAGTATGTAAAAAAAAAAAAAACTACAGCAGCAACTAGATGCACACAATATAATTTTATAGACACTATGTCATTAAGTCTTATGCTTCATAAAGCAAGTTCAACAGCTCAGCATTTAAGCCTTTAGGTGTAATGGAATCAAGATTGAAAATCTAAAAAGCATCTCTTTGGAGTATAAGTCAATATCTGTCACTTTTTCTACCTTCAAAAATTGAATTTATTTGTGTTTATTGTATTGCATGTACAGAGAGAACAGATAACATAGTGATTCCGGGAACATGGTACAACAGAGATTCAGTGTGATACGGGTCATAATAAATTTGTCATTTGTCAGTTCTGAATGAATGCACTCATTTGTAATTAATCATCAAGTTTGCATTTTGTATACAGTTGTATACATATAATATATATTAGACCAGGATAAACTAGCAACCGTATAATTAGATCAAAGCATGAAACAGTTGCTTATCCTGCATTTTTACTGAGGAGATGAGGATGAGGACGTTTCCTTGTACACATGCAAAACAATATAGTAGGCTATGAGAAAAATCACACCATGATGGTCATCTCTATAAAGATTGTAAGAGAATAGTGATGTCCCGAACGGTTCGCGAACGGTTCGCCACAAACGCCATAAACTTTGACCCTGTACCTCACAGTCAGCAGACACATTCCAGCCAATCAGCAGCAGACCCTCCCTCCCAGACCCTCCCACCTCCTGGACAGCTCACTAAGAATGCAGCTTCACAATGAATGTAAAATGGATGCTGTCCAGGAGGTGGGAGGGCCTGGGAGGGAGGGTCTGCTGCTGATTGGCTGGAATGTGTCTGCTGACTGTGAGGTACAGGGTCAAAGTTTACTCAATGATGAGTTTGTGGAAAATCGTTCGGGACATCACTATAAGAGAACATTAATCTGCACTTTAGAGAAGGACATCAAAGCTTCACCAAGAAGATGAATAAGGCCTGAAAAGTCTGAAACGCCTTAAGAGGTGTGGATTTTCTTCTTTTGTGTGGCTCCCTTTGTGATTTTTTTCTGGTTTTCATATCCTTCTGTAATGTACTGATTAAAATTATCTTACAGTCTTGTTAGAGATTACCATTATGGCGTGCTTTCTTCATAGCCTACTATATTTTTGTGTATGTTTAGTTTAGACATATCCCTCTAAATCCAACAGTATGCTTGCAAACAAATTCTAAAAATTAGTAAAAGAATGTTTTTCAGTGTATTTCTTTTCAAGATAATGTTTATTGAATTTTTGCATCCAAATTTTTATAGTGAACAACAACAGTGGGAAAGAGAATAAGACCAAAATTATACATTATACATGTATGGGATCACAGGTCATGTAAATAATCACAAAACATGATAACATACTTAAAAAAAAAAAGATAATGTTCATTATATAAACATGTCATATGTATATATAAAAATATTAAGCTAAGCTCAATATTCCATGTCCCCAAACCAATATTAACATAAAATTGTATTCCGACTGAAGAGGAGTAAAAAAACAGAGTTTTGGAAATATTGTATGAAATACAATTTGCTTGCAAATTCATGTCCAGCGTTAATATTCACTATACAAATTTACAAAATGGTCAAATAAAGATTATAAAAAATATTCACAGCTATCTTCTTTGAATTCAAGAACAATAAGAAGAACTCACATAGGCTAACCATAGTCTAAAATCTCATCCTCTATCACCTATGCACACAAACCTGATAATCTATGTGCAGATTATTTCAAAGCAAATATAAATAACATAAATGCAGATAGCTAGTGGGATTAAAATGATATATAATAGGCTTTTGCCTGAATATACCTTATAATTTATTATTTTTATACCACTTGGTATAAATATTAAGGAGGTGACCATAGGAAATATGACAGAAAACAAAAAAAACAAAAACCCAGCAACAATATATCATAATATAATATAATATAATATAATATAATATAATGTAATAATTAAAAACTGCAAATAGTGTATGTTTATTATTTTACATGTTATTATTTTATTTTTTTAAAATATTATTATATTATAACTAGCTCTGTTACAAGTAATACTTTTATTAATGTTATAACTGATATATTATCTTATTTTGTATTTAAAGGCAACATTTGGTAGTTTTGTACTGGAAGGACAGGTTTGAGGAGAAGCAGTGTTTTTTTTTTTTAATATGAGAAGACTGAAGCTCTTTGAATGTCTAAGATATCTAGTAATAAGTTAAATTTAAATCTTCATTTTGCAGTGAAGGGAACTTTACACAGTTTACTGAATGAGTTGATAAATATTCATTGAGCTGTGCTTCAATATAAATGAAATGTGGGTTAAGGTAATGCAATAAGAATTCAGGTGAAAGCTATTTTATTTCAGATAGCAGTTTGTGACACACTTTTATTTCACATTATGCAGCTAAGACAGGTGGGGATACATAGTAGAAAACAGAAATACTAAGCGTTTTTAGCTAGGGTGAATTGCAAATCTATATCTAAAATCAAAGTCATAAAGATCATGAGTCAAAACAGGTAATAGTTCAAAAATGAGCTTTCTCTCATATCAATAGTAATTGATTAAAAAACAATAATTTCACACAGCTTTATTTTAATGTTTCCTTGAAAAAAGAAATAACATTAACTTTTTTAAAACCCTTTGAAGATGTAATTCATGTAAGTGTCTGGGTGATAGAGAGTGAAGCTGAGGCTAGGTTCAATGTTCAGTGTTTTTAAAGGATTACTCCAAGCAGCGAGTTATAGTGTTCATGGTGCCTGGAGTCTGTATATGCAGTGTTTTGCTATGAAACACTACACAAATGGCATTTAACTCCTCTGCTTCAGGAGGTATAATTCCACCAGCATCAATGGTGTGTCACCAGCCAGCGCGGAACGAAAGTTCCAGACAGGCGAATGTAAGTTTCATTGCATCCATAAACTGAGATGGGTTTAGCTGATGCTCTTGATCAGTGAATGGTGTTGGTCTTGGCATTCGACTTCTGTGCACTGTTGTTGTTGTTGTATGATTAGAGTAACCCTCTAAGTAAGCACTATTGTAAACAATTCCATTGCGCCCAATAATCCTTCTAGATCTTTATCAGACGCAAATTAATTAATATATTTACTGCATAGCCCTCTTCTTTTATGATTACATTGAATTTGGAAGTAATGCAGATTCATGTCACCTTGCTCCAGTTTCTTTCTAAAGTCCTAATGTCTGTTCATAACATTTTGGTGCTGCGACAGGTCAGCTGATCATCAGGTGTCTTCTGGATGAGATGAATGCTGTGCATATATAAATGGAGAACACAGGGAAATTTTAAAAAGAACACAGCATCTATTGATTCATTACAGAGCAAGAAGAAAAGATGATGGAAGTATGGAGGGGCAAAGGTTTAAAAATAATTTCAGGAAGTATTACTTTACAGAGAGGGTAGTGGACTCATGGAATAGCCTTCCAGATGAAGTGGTAGAGATTAACACAGTGAGGGAGTTTAAGCACGCGTGGCTATCCTAGACTATAAGGCTATCCTAGACTTAAGATAAGGCGTGGACTAATGAAAGTATTTGGAAAATTGGGCAGACTAGATGGGTCGAATGGTTCTTATCTGCCGTCACATTCTATTTGATATGAGATAGACATTTTCATGCCTGGGAAATTGGGTATAGTTTTAGCTGGGCCAGAACTAAACCAAGATGGTTGGTTAGTAGTGAATAATTTGAGATTGGAAGTTGGCATACAATGGCATATAGTCAGTGATTTTAGCTTGGGTATACCACAGCTGTTCATGCAAATGGAGCAAGTATAAGCAGCTAACCTCTATCATGCAGCAATTGATATACAAATATAAAACTACTTTTATGGCATGCTTTTATGCTGTACAGTTATTCATGAATGCATAAAAATACCAGATATGCTTTATAATTATTAAATACTAAAAGAGTAAATCCTTCATAAATAATGTTATATTGTTTTTATTATCCACACATTTTACCCCAGGTAGCATGGAATTTTGAGTATTAACTGCGTTTGAGAGATGTATTATTGCATGTATTAGACCCCAATAGGGGAGACCATTAGGATATGATGAATGTAAAAATCAGTAGTAGTAATTCAAATTAAATAAGCTTTGCCAAGTTCATATATTGTTTTTGAAATCTATTAATATTCTTACATAAATGTTCATCAATAAATAATTAATACATTACTAAAAAAAATATACTTGCAAAACAGAGACTTTTAGCACTATACTTTATTGATTTTTATAGTTGTGTCTGCTTATATTTGCACTAAATGAAAAACATAGTTTAAAACATAATTATATGTAATTGAATTTTTATACGGAACTCTCTAATATGGCAGTTATGTTACTTCAGGTACCATATTTCTATTAGGAAAAGATGGAACTCTTATGCACCCCCTAGTGAGAGTCTTTGCATTCTTACCACAAAGATTTACAGTTTTGCCAACAAAAATCCCCTTAGAGAGATTCCACTTCAGTTGATTTTTTTGATGATGAAACATTTACCTTGAATGAACTTACATTCTTTTTTTGCAGGCCTGCCCTCAGGAGACCAAAGTATAGTTTAAAAATCAAATTAAATCCATCTGATAATGTTAAGTTTTTGCCTATGAGTAGTTCTGCTAGGTGTAAATATGTACTTTATTTAGCACATTTGCCTATTGTTATGACTGATGCACAGGTGAGCAATAATTAACTTTTACTTCTACTGAAAAAATGAGCTATATTATTTGTATTACATTTCTATGTAATACAAATAATATAGAATTGAAATGAATAAGTATTAAGATATTTATTGGTGTTTATGGTCCATGAGTAGTGAAGTGTATATTGTTAACCTCCTTATCATTACATTTTGACAAATATTGTACAAATATAGTGTTTATATAAAAACTAGGTTAGAATAATGATAAATAAATCAAAACACGTTTTGATATCTTTGGATGTTAATTCTAATAGTTAGGGATTAACAAGGTTACTACAGCCCAGAGTCCATCATAAATGTGTCTGAAATACAGTCTCTATTGCTCATACCTCAGTGATGAAAAAATTAAATGGCAAACTTTTTTCACGACACATGACAAACATAAAAGAAACTAAAAATGAATTTCAAATCCTGCTTAGCAGAGTCTTATCGAATTGATTGAGTCTTTTTGTTTATCTGAAGTCAGGCATCACAACTCAGGTGCATAATTTGTATTAGGCATCTACAAGTGTTTCTGACTGACAGCTGTAAGGAAGCATTTTCCCCCATAAGACCTGTGCCTATATTTAGTATGTATTAAATGTGTATGCTAATGATCAAACTGTTGATTTCCATATATTAACTATTTATTTTTATTTATTTTTTCATTAAAAGCTAGAACCATTTTCTCTATGATAAGATTTTAATGATGATAATTGTGTGACCATTAAAATAATTAACCTTTTTTAATCTCTAGACACAAAATTATATTACACATTAAAAAAATGCTATTAAGAGAGCAGATAATACATAAGAAGGTAACCTTTTCTTGAAAAAAAAATTAAAGATTTTACAAATTAAAATCTTCTCTAAATTAATAATATGATTTAACTAAATACTGTTATGTTTGGAGCAAAAATATATAGTGATTAGAGGTCCAAATACGAAATATCTTTTATTCAACAAGGAATAAAGATTGTATTTGGGGTCAAGAGGAATGGGTCTGGTCCAAAACTGAATTAGAACATCTCATAAATGGGAAAAGCTGAGAGAAAAATGGAATGAGTTGGATGTCACCCCCACATGTGCTGAGATTTTGTCTCTATAATTAATAAACAAGACTTT